TTGCTCTTTCCTACTGCTACAGACAGACTAACATGGCGACCCCTCTTGAGCCTATCGTATCATTTATAATGCTTGACCTCAGTCACATTATTGCCTCTCGTTCATTCCTTGAATTCTCCATCTAGGTATGTCTTATATAGAGTTACAGATTCTGTTTTGAGAGACTGAATGTAGACTTCTGTGTTCCTTTGCAACATTATTTTAAGGGTGAAATTCGCACAACTGAAATTTTTCATTATATAATATTTTATGTATGCTGTCTTTGTTGTAAGCCGCCTTGAACTCCGTAAGGAAGAAAGACAGCTAATAAACATTTTAAATAAGTTAAATAATAAAGCACAGGCTTCACAGGAGGCCTTGGCAAATGTTCTTTTGGCTCTAGGAGCCTGCCCAAAATTTTAGGAGCCAAACTCATTTTCCAGCCTTCATGGTATCTTTGTTTAAGGACCATATTGTATAATTACTGCTACCACATAACCTGATTGTAAGCTCCAGTTTCCCATAATTTTATGAAAGTTATTATAGTATGTAAATAAATATACGGTTCCCAGGTTTGTCAACATGACAACAAAGAGCTGACATTTAACCTTAAGCTCCCAAATTTCTTGTAAATCTGTTACTTTAAAAAGCTCTGTTTAATTGAATATCAGAGCCAGTCTAGAAAGAGGATGGGTTAAGAAATGAACTCCTCTACCTCTGAATGGTGTAAAGTTAACATATAAGAGGCAATGACAAAAGTTTCATGCTCGTGGATTTCTTTGCCATACAGCAATACCTATTCTGATGTGAAATTATAAGTTTGTACTTCTCCTGAGGATCGCTGAGAGACGCTACGATAAAATCATTGCTGAAAATACTGGGTGCCACAGTGAGCTTTCTAGGTGCCATGGCAACCATGCAGCTGGGATTTCTTGTGTCCTGTTTTTAAAATCCTGTTTTTATTATTTTTATTCACACTGGAGAACAGTTGTTTTCTAAGGAGAAGTGGCTTCATTGTCTCTATCCTGGTGCTTTAAAAACTTTTTGATGTCTCTAAATATGGATAGTAGCATCCATTTTTTTCCAAGTTCTTATTGGTTGTCTTAATGAAACCTGTTAAGTAAATTGTTTGGATCCTTGAGTCAGTAATTCATATTCTCTCTGTCTGTCTGTCTGTCTGAAGGACTTGGTAAACATTGAGATGTTTTTGACTGCCAAAGAAGTAGAAGAATCCTTGGAAAGGCAAGAAACAATGACTTGCTTAGCTTGGTGTCACGATAACAAGTCTAGGCTCAGGAAGATGAAGGTATGGAAGCTTTTTAAATTGGATTGAATTTTAATTTGGATGTGTGCTTAATTGATGGGACAAACCTGAATGAGTTCTGGTGATTGTATAGAAATAAGTATTTGACCTTCTTAATAGCTTCATATAATCTACATTTAATTCTTATTTAAGGTGGTAGATAATATGTGAAGTACAATGTAAATGAATAAGAGTAGAACTGGTTCTTTGAAAAAGCTGCCCCAAGTAATTGAGCATTGTGGATTAACTTTGGTCTCTAATGAAGGAGCCCACTGGTGTGAGTCCCGAGTCACGGCTTGTTGTCATAGAAATGAACTTGGGGAATTGGTCTCACAGGCTCCCTCGCTCTTCCCCTCTTGGACAGTGAGATGGGCAAGATGTTTAGGGGTAGCCTCCAAAGGTAGAGTTTCTGCCAAATGCTTTGTCTCTTTAACCATCTCTCCCTCTCCAAGCATTACCAAGGGTGTAGGACATCATTGGCCAGCTCAGTCTTTTGGACTGGAGGGCTTCAGCATGAGGCCTTGTGAACCTGCTAGCCAGGCTGCTCTTTGATCCAGAAATGTCCGAAGTTTGCGCACCCCCCTTCCCTTCTTGGGCTAAGGAAGGCCCTGGCAAAGAGCTTGCACTGCTATCCTAAGATGAGCTGCCTGTTCCTCCTCCTGCTCCTTGCTGACCCGGTGGTCTTGCGGCCTTTCGTGGGCCTCTGCCATGTGCTAAAGGTCTGCCCTCCTTGCCAGTCAGTGGTGTTGCTTCAGTTCCAGTTTTGGTGTGGCCCCTGGAGCTGTTGTAGCTCCACCAAATCTTCCTACAGGCCCTTAGACTAGTTACGACTAAGAAACTAAAAGTTAACTCATTGCTGACAGACCACAGTATGTTATTCTGTTCCGATCAAAAACTGTCTAGTGTGTTCTGTTCCCTCCAAAGCAGAATTAAAGTGGGGTTTGGAATCCTGGCTTGGAGGGCAGAGCAGCCATACAGACATGCCAGAACAAAAGTTGTCCAGTGGCACCTTTAAGACCAGCACGGCTCCCCACCTGAATCTATTGACATGCTAGAGTTTGCTGTAGCAGAAGCAAGGGGGGGGGGGAGGATCTCTCATACTCAGTTCTGTGTTGACAGACTGAACACCAGGACACAGGAATCATGCCGTTGACATCAGGTGTGCTTGATAAATGCTCTCTTATGCAATCAAACCAGCTTTCATAAGACATGAACGTTTCATAAAATAATGTGAAAAAATGTTCTCAAAAATGAAGGTTTATATTAACCATCTAGCTGGCTGAGAATGTACACAATGATGACGGATGAAGTTTTCTCTATAAATGTGCAGCGGTCATTTAAAACAATCAACAGCCTCTTTTGTGCTGGGGGAAAAATTGCTTGATAGAGTTTTACTTTAGAAAAATAAACTAGAAAGGTGAAAATATAACTTCAAATGGGAAGGTGATGCACCTTTGTTTTACTACATTGCCCGAAACCCGTACCACCCAGAGTGCTTGTACTTCCTTGTTTTAAAGTCTTAATACTTAACACTTATATAATGCTTTAGAAATTGTTCTACATGCATTATTCAGTAATTCTTACAATTCTTTATAGTTATGCAGCACCATTTGCAGATCACAGTAGTTCAGTTGCACGTAGGCATCCTGTTAGCCCAACTTCTGCCTGCAGCATCATCTTGACAGTATTGTTGGAAGTGTAGTGTGTGATACATCTCAGTGAAGACACAGACTTCCCACTTGCAAACTCTTTTGGTAAACCTGTTTCATAGAGAGGGGGCCACATAAGGGAAGTGCGAGTGAAAGTACAGCATTTGTGATCTTTGAATCAAAGAGGTAAACCTCTGTGTAGTGCTTGATCATACTGCCTTGAACCATGAGGAAAAGCGGGACATAAATGTTCTAGTAAATAAATTGCTACTCAGAGATAGACAGGTCCCTCCTCTGCCATGTATATAGAATTGCAGCAGGTAGAATCCTGAAGCTGTGGTTTGTAACACCAATGGAAACGAAAGAAACTGTAGAACAGCAATGTGGGTTTTTATGTCCTCTGTTGTGCACTGTATTACCTGTGTACCAAGTTTCAGTGTGTGTGTCTTAATTAAAATCTTGACATAATGATTGCATATTTAAAGTTGAAAACTTTAAAAACTGTAGCCCATTAGTGATACTTATGTATTTCCTAGATATTGGAGACCTAAAGGATATTTAAACAATTTAGTGTGGTCATTCCCCATGAAAAGGAAATGGGGAATCAGTTGTCAAAGCATTAAATTTCAGGTTGCAGGGGAAAAAACCCTCCATTCTCTTTTAGGCTTCAAATAACATTTCAACAGAAATTCATACTGGAAAAGGAAAGGGTACAACTTCTGTAAACCGCCCAGAGACCCTCCGGGGTCAGGGCAGTATAGAAGTCGAAACTATAAATAAATAAACCCAGTTTTTTTAGCGACACAGAAAAACACAACTGCGGCTCTAAGAATATAGTGACCAAAACAAGATGCTGTCAGTCACTCTCTGGGCCCTTTCCTTGAAAGGTTGGGTGGAAAGTCCTCTGCCTTCAGACGGACCTTCACCCAGTGAGCCCAAGGCAAGGCTTCTCAGGTGGAGAACAGGGAGATGATGGGAGCCGCAGAGGTGCAGCTGGTCTCTGTTTCTTGCCTAGAGGAAAGCCCCCACCCCCAGCATGCATCTTCAGCACTGGCACTTCCGTTCTTGCTTACCCGTTTGTTTGCTTAGACTGCTAAAGGCTTCTCTCTTCCCTTCACTCCCTCTCACATTCTTCCTTGTCTCTATCAATACCCTGTGTCAGTAATGATTACAGAAATCCAGGGTGCACCATTACTTTGCATGTGTAAGCATTTAAAATGTTTTATTTTTCTGGGCTAACATACTTCAGAAGGCAAACCAATGTAGGACAAAAGTCAGTTTGACAGATGCAGATCCATTGTCTGTCCTGGTCACTCTCCCAGCTCCCCCCTCCTCATGGTCCTGCAGTCCCATTGGCATGCTGTCGTCACCTGAGTTCTGCTTATTTAGCAGGGTTCCTAACTGCTGGCCTCTGCAGATTGGTCCGTGAGAGGAAAGTGGTTACCAGATTCTGGAAAGCTGCACACAGCCCCCCCCCCCCGGGGCATTCTTTCCTGTTTGCAGCTGAAGCCTCAGATATCGATGGTCATCTAGCTTCCTCTTACAATGAACCAGTGTTTGTTGTCTGTGCTTAACTCTAAAGTAGACGAAGCAAAAATCGACATCTGAAATATAAACGACCTGAAGTCTACAGAATTCTCTCAGCTTAATAAAGCTCCATGTTGAGATTTTACCAAACGAGCGAAGCTGTTGTGCTTTCTTGAGCATCACACTTTTTAGAGGGCTTTTGTTGTGGTGTGCTATATTAGAATTCAGGCTGGAGTTCAGAAGTAAGTTCGTATTGCCCAAATAGCTCTCAGTGGAAGATAAAGCTCTAAGTTTTGCTTCTAAGGAGGCATTTCTATGGTATTTCAGTTTCAGTTTGGAATGCTGTACAAATAGAGTGCAGGAATGGGATTCTTACCCTTAGATGCTCAGTTTTGATGAAATAATAGTTTCATTACTGATTTGTGACACACCAGTTCCTTGTTCCCAACCTCCTACTTACTTGGAAGCAAACTAGCAAAAGTTAGGTCAGGTAGACCAGTAGGCCGAGGGTGCAGATGTTCTCCATGCAAAGGCTGCTGTGGCCATGTCTGAGAATCTGTCTTTGTTTTTCATCTCAGAGTTGTCTGGAGTTCAGTCTAAGGATCCAGGAGTTCATTGAACTTATTCGACAGAACAAGAGGCTGGATGCTGTGAGGTACACAAATGGAATGCTTACCAAACAATTTCTTTAATGTTATGCATCACTTTTAAAAAAGGTAATGTTTTGAGCAGCACTCAGAAGACCGGTCTCTGCACAGGAACCTCGTCAGACTCACTGCTATCGAAGGCTGTGGTGGGCCACATGCCTGGCATGTAAAATTGCACTCAAAGTCATGAAAAGAAAAACATGGTGTTCGACTTGTCCTGGATAATGAGTGGGTAGTATTTAGTTTGCTTTGCAACTGGATGTCTATTACAAGAAGAGATTGCTTCTCCTTGGCAAAGAGAATTCAAAAGAAGTCGCTTTTCCCAGCTCCAGACGAAGACCCACTAATAAGAGCAGACTGTAGCATGTAGGAGAACCCAGGAAGGTAAAATAGGCACGGCCAAGGTCGGCTTGTCTTGGGAGGGCAACACTTCAGATCAGTGCTCCCTCTAAGCTGTGGAGTCTTGTGAGCAAAAACTCTACTTGGTGAGCTACTGGCATGAAAGTTGTGAGCAAGCGATTTGGCTACCACATAAATTAATTTGCTCTGGAGCCATCCTTCCTGAGCTAAGATAAAAACGTGTGAGCAAGAGATTAAAAAACAGTGAACTAGCTCACACTAACTCGGCTTAGAGGGAACACTGCTTCAGATACTAGCTGGTAATCTCAGGTGTGTGTCAACAGACTTGAGCTGTGATGAATTACCTGATTTGCCCCCAGTGTAGGGATCTGTACTGAGCCCAGCTCTGGGGGAGTTTGCCTCATTAGCTGAACACAGCTGCAAATCACCCATCAGGCCTATGCCAGACAAACTCCCTGAGAGAGACTTTATCTCTTGCAACACAAAGAAAATTTTGTGGGTCAAACGTCAGATCTTTTGCCAGCATAATTTCTTTGAGTTAAGGATTTTTTTTAAAATCATGACTCTTTTTATTAGGCAAGAACTGGATAAATATAAACAGCTGCAAATTCGTCCTGCAAGTTCAGAAAAAAAACACATGTGATAAAAAACAGATCTAACATTTTTCAGTCTTAGCTAAATATATAATCATTACAGTTTCTCTAAGATTGTCAAACCAGATTTTAAGCTTGAATGCTAGATAAAATGGGAAGCCCAGAATGCAAGATATGTTCACCGAATTTAAGATCTTCTCTGAATGGAAGCCACCAGGAGAAAGCCTAATAAGCCCCTTACATGACACTTCTTGCAGAGGAGGTGACTCTTTGGAAGAGAGATAAGAGAAGAGATTGGATTTATATACCGCCCTTCACTACCTGAAGGAATCTCAGAGCATTTTACAATCTCCTTTCCCTTCCCCTCCCCACAACAGACACTCTGTGAGGTAGGTGGGGCTGAGAGAGCTCTGACAGAAACTGCTCATGAGAGAACAGTTCTGAGAGAACTTGTGACTGACCCAAGGTCACCCCAGCAGCTGCATGTGGAGGAGTGGGGAATCAAACCTGGTTCTCCCCATATTAGAGTCTGCGCTCCTAACCACTATACCAAACTAGATAAATCTTTCTAACTTTTTATTGTCCTCTAAATAAAACAATTAAAGCAATGAAAAGGGATTATGAGGATAACTAACAAGTGGACTAGAATACATCTTGATCATATCCATTAAATTCTCAAAGCAAAGTTATAAGGCTAAAATTGGCACCAGTTTGCAATTAAGAAATGATAAACCCGCTGTGTCTTCAGCTGCGCTAACAAACTATCAAGTTGAAGGGAGTCCTGCGCTTTCCCTCACCAGCTGTTGAGCCCTAGAAAGGTTATGAAGTTACATTATGATTTTTTATTTAATTTGTAGCCCCCTCTCCTGAAGACCTTTTCAGAGTGGGTAACCTCAGTTTAGAAATATAGAATTAAAATTTCCAATAACAAAAGAATTCAGTCATCAATAAAATACACTAAAATACGTATAATACAATATGATCAGTTATATAAAATCAAGGTGGCATAAACCCACTGAAGAAGGGAAATGGCAGGGGGAAACAAAAGGGGAGGGGTGGAGGCCAATCTATTAAATCTTACTGATTGAGACTCCCGTACTGCCCTCCACCATAGGCCCGGAGGAACAACTCAGTTTTGCAGGCCCTGTGGAATTGCCCTAAATCCCGCAGGGCCCTGATCTCAAGTTCCTGTTCTCAAGCCATGCTCTGTGTGCCCCTCCCTGCCCATGAAGGTGGAGAGGGAGGTGAGCAGAGGCGGGGCTCTTTCAGTGGTGGCACCTGACCTTTGGAATGCCCTCTCTGTTGAGTCTGACCTTGTGCCTATTTTTCTTTCTGTAAGCACCAGGCCAAAAAAATTCTTTTATCTAGACTTTTAACTGCTGGGTTTTATTTTTATTCTGTTCTTTTTTATGTTTGTTTGTACTGTTTTACAGTCTACTTCTAACCTGAGGGCTATTTTAGAATATAGTTTTAGGTGGTTCATTGTTGGTTTTACACCATTTTATGCCATGACTTTGTGTTGTGATGTCTGTGAGCTGCCTCAAGCAGGTCTCAGGGGAAGCAGGATGCGTTCAGTGTGGGCATATTGGCGTTGGGGGGGTCGGCATGCTTTTGCTGAGTTCTCCAGCAGGATTCTCTCAGTGAGTCCTGCATCCCCGTTGCCATAAATAGGCTAGTCATCTGTTCAGCAGCGAGCAGGCTTCTTTTATCAAGTGGCTTCCTGTATGAGAGGGGGCTGGTGGGGGCCAGCAATTGGGTGAAATGGAACTGGTGTGCCAGAGTTTTGCTTATTACTTCTCAGGGGAATTTGGAATAACATTCTGTGGGCACAAGTGATGGCAGCCTTAACTATTGCTGCTGTCTGGGATTTTCAGAATGTGATATACAAATGCTAAAAATCAGAATTTGGAAACACAAAGACTCGGAGTATGAGCAACCAATTTTGTGAGCCGCGATATCTGGATGGCATTCAGTTTACATGACAAGTTACTTTGTGCTTAGAATTCTACAGTATTTAATATTAATTTCCACATTAAATTGATGAAATGGGGTTGACAGGATGGATCTTTGTTGTCTTCCCTTCCCACTGCTGTTCTCTCCCCCCCCCTCCCCGCTTCTGAGGATTGGGGAACTTTTGGGTGTACACCATAATGTAGTACAAAGGGCTTGAGAAATGGTGGCTAGCTTCCACCCTCCCTTACATCAGCTCTTTGGTGAACAGATCCAGAGCCTGTGCAAAGGATGGCCCATTTGCATTGTTGACAACGCAATGCAGCAACAGAGGTAATGCTCACTCAGGGAGGGAACAATGAATGTGTGCAAGGTGAGGGGGGGGAGCACACAGACATTGCAGTTGGTGCAAGAAAGGTGGGACTCGTTAATAATTGTGAAGCACTCAGTTTAGTGGACGTTTTCTTTCTGGAAGGAAACCTCATGGCTAAGAAAGCATCAGTGCTCAGAAGTGGGAAAACTTTCTAGACTTACAGGTCTTATGTTAAAATGCCTTTTCTCTGTGTTAGATTGTGCTTTGTATATAGAATTTCTTAAAATAAAGCCCCAGTTTGGCGCACATGGACTCATTCTGAATTCTGGCTTTCAGACATGCAAGGAAACATTTCAGCCAGGCTGAAGGAAGTCAGCTGGATGAAGTGCGGCAAGTGATGGGGATGTTAGCCTTTCCTTCTGATACCCACATCTCTCCTTACAAGGTACGTTTCATTTTAATTGCCTCAGGAAGGGGCAGAGAAAGTTCATGGCTCTTGAGTACCAGTAGACACTGATGGCAGCATATTCTGTTGTCCGTTATTAAAAACGGAGGCTTTCCAGTAAGAAGGTAATGGACTTGTCGCAGCCAGTGAAATGCTCTGTTAATGGTGTCGTGGTGGATTCTTAGTGATAATCCAATAATAGAAGGCAAAAACAGGTGTAGTAAACAGACTCGCTACTTACAAATTGCCAAAATGCTAAAGAACATGTAATAGAAAGTAGCGAATACAAAGTAGCCACATAAGAAAAATACAAAATGGAAACAATGAAGAGCTTGTGTAATAATACACTACAATAGAAAAATCCACAGAATAATGAGGAACTAATATAATAATGCGACGTTTCCGGATGTTTGATTACAACGTTTCAGATTTCATTCATCAGGGTGTTCCCTTTAAGTTGCTGTGGTTTCCATACTTTTACTCACATGGACTGGGAACAATAGCAATTCAGTACAAGGACAGACACAACTCTCCAACGTGTAATCAGCTTCAGCAGCTTCAGACTTCCAGCGGGACCATTGTTATTGTTAGTGTGAGCTAGCTCACAGTTTTTTAGCCTCCGGCTCACACATATTTGTCTTAGTTCAGGAAGGCTGGCTCCAGAGCAAACTAATTTATGCAGCAGCCAAATCGCTCACTCACAACTTTAATGCCAGGAGCTCACCAAGTAGATTTTTTGCTCACAAGACTCCACAGCTTAGAGGGAGCATTGCTCCTTACTAAAGACAGTGATCTATGATCATCATGGAAAATACAGATAGAAATTAGAATTTCCCTGCCATATTAAATGGGCTTTTGAGGCAAGGTAAAATACAGTATTCTTCCTGAGCCATTTATGTGACTGCACCTAAAAAAAAATGTTCAGGGAGGAGGCTGCTTTGGATTTGTCAGGCTTACCTTGCGAGTTTTGTTACCGTTTGGAAAGCCTGCAGGTTATCATGTCTACCTGGAGGTGCAAAATTTTGAGAAGTTTTGAAGCCATGGGGAAATAAGTTTATCCTGATTTGTTTTCAGCTAACTGAGTAAATCAGTTTCCCTCATTTTACTCATGCCAAAAGGAACAACCAAATCACAGGAGTTTTTTCCAGTGGTCATCCAGATCTCCCAGTTTTTCCAAGGGAAAAACTTCCAGATCTCCCAGTTTTTCCAAGGGAAAAACTTCCAGATCTCCCAGTCTTACTTTAGCATCCGTTTTCATCCAGATCTTCCAGTTTTTCCAAGGGAAAACTTCCCTTGGAAAAACTTCCTTGGACTTTTTCACGCTATACATTTAGAGTTAGTGAATTGTTTTTTAAGCTGGCTTTTTCAGCGGTTTCCATTGGAAAAATTGGACAATTTGGAGGACTTTTTCATTCTGTGCTTTTTGAGTGAGAAAATCTGCCTTAAGAAGGATTTCATTCATTTTTAAAAAGAAAACATTTCATAGGAGCTTTTGTAGCGCACTCCAACATTTCCCTTTCCCCCCTAGAAACACTGAAAAAAACTTCTCAGAATAAAACCCACTTTTCTGGACACCCCCCCCCCCCGCCTCCACATCTTCAGGCTACTGGCAAATGGAGACTGCCATCCCAAAGCAGTCTGTGACTGTTGGAAACTGACTAGTGAAGAAGATCTTACTTTAGCATCCATTGCAGTCATAGCCAAATGACTCCTCCTTCATTCAGCTACTCTTGTCTAGCTCTATAGAAGGGGCATGTTGTGTGTGCCTAACTTTGCAGCATTTTCCCCAGTCATGGCAAGCTGATCAGCTGCTGTATGCTGAACTAGAGTGGATTCCATGACACCTGGTACTGCACAATACCCGAGTAATAACTGCTTTGCTATCAAAGCATTTCTCCTCGTTAGCATAGCTGTCAATTCTGCTGACTGTGTCTCCTTTGTGGGAGTAACTGTCATCTTCTGTTGTGATTTTTAGAAGCTGCTTGGAGTCATTTTTTACAGAAAATAGAATAAAAAGCAAAACAGAAACCTGAAAATACTCTGGTCCAAACTGATTCATTGTTACTTAGTTAGCACCCTTATGCCAAAAGTTTGTTGATCTTTGCTCTACTCCTTGATCTTAGAGTGGAATGTATAGTCTTCTATTTTTTGAAACAAGCAATTGTATTTTTTCTGATTTATGATGTTACCTACCTTGATACAAGTTTGTCATTATTGTCATTATTCTGAACTTTTATGTATCCTATTTTATAACGAAAATAAAATTTAATTAAAAAAAAACAAAAAATCAAAATTAACTGCATGCCTGTTGTCACATGAAGAATGCTTATAGGCTTGAGAAAGTTTTGATAATCATATCAAATGTTGTTCCTGTTCACTGTGAATTTCCACAATTTACTCACTTGTTGAATAAAGAAGTATTTCCTTTTGTCCATCATGAATCTGTTGGCCATCAAGTTAATTGGACACTCTCAAATTCTAGCATTCTTAGGAAAGAGAGAAGATTCTTCTACTCACTTTCTCCACCCCAGGCGTAGTTTTATAAACCTCTGTCATGCCTCCCCCAACCATCTTTTTTCTAAACTAAGAACTCCCGGACCCATCAGCTTTTCCTCAATAGGAAAGGGGCTCCAGCCTCTAGCCCTTTAATTTTCTTGGCTGTCCTCATCCGCACTTCATTTGGGTCAGTAATTTTTTTTTATGTGATGGCAACCAAAGCTGTACATAGTATTCTCAATGAGGCTGCACTATAAATTACAATACTTGACTTTATTTTCAGTTCCTTCTCTAAAAATTCTCAGCCTGCTGTATTTTTCACTGTTGCTGCACAATTGATGCTTTCAATGATGCATCCACTCCTACCCAGCCAGGAAATTTTCCTGTGGGGGGCTTTGGGATTTGGGGTGTGTGTGTCATGGCCTCCCGTCACCATGAGTGAGTCTCCTCCAAGGAGAGCCAAAGAGGAAGCAGCCAGGTGGCAGGCCAGCGAGTGGTGCCACTTGACTGCCTCCTCGGTTCTCCAAGCGAGTGCAGACGCCATGAGGTGCCAGGGCGGGCCTCTCTGCGTCTGTGCCTGTGTGCCACCCAGCAAGTCGAACTAATGGTCTTAACTCTTCCCAAACTAACTGGGAACAATTCTAATTTCAAGGCTTTTGCTCTTCCAAGCTAAATTCCATCTACTTAGCAGAGCTGGTTGGAAGTATATTAGTCTTGCTTTTAAATACAGCACCAAATCTTTAGAAACCACCCACTCCTTTCTTCTGTCTTGTCTTTTGAAAAGCATTTAAAAATTGTGGTATCATAGTTTTCTTAGAAATCAGACTAAGTTAAGCTTTAAATGTTTTCTGCAGCTGGTGGAATTTGAATATGAGTGCTCCTAGTTCAGACTTCCTCCTAAATAACCTACCATCTCTGATTTATTCACTTATACCCTACTGCAAGTAAGCTGGTGTCTCTTGCCATTGCTATGAACCTCATAGTTTGCGTATTTGGGAGTACTTTCAGGCAGGCTCTGAGCACTAGGACTGGTCTTTGTCTTTTCACACAGCTTTACTTTCAGCATTTGGAATATGTACATGTTCTCTGAGCTCTCTCCTTCAGCTTCAGGTGCTTTGCTTTGTGAATATTGGAAGTCCTGTGTTTCTCCTCAGGGGACTTTGAATTCACAATATGCTAAATCTTTTGTGCTAAGGAACCGAAATAGCTTCTCAGCAGGGCAGCACTGATGTTTTCATATGTATTACTCTGTCTCTTTGAGCAGTGACTCCATGTGCTACTTGGGTTCTGCTTCCTCTGACTCTCTCCTGTACCCCCTTCTCCTTTTTCTAAACCCCCACAAGGCACTGGGCTCCTTCCTTGTTGGGAGTTTGGTGGAAGTTTCCAGGCTGCTTCCAGTCACCACTTGCCTACTCCCCCCTTTCCCCCCAGTTAACCCTTTGTTTAGTTGCTGCCACCACTCACTGAACTGGTAGAGTATAAGGGGCTGAAGCCCTAACCTGGATAGCTCAGCCTAGCTAAGCAGGGTTGGCCTTAGTTAGTCCTTGGCTGGGAGACCACCATGGAAGTCCAGGGTTGCAATACAGAGGCAGGCCATGGAAAACCACCTCTGAATGTCTGAAACCCTGCAGGGTCACCCTACGTCAGCTGTGATTTGACGACACTTTCCACCACCACTACCACCACGGGGCTGAAGGAGTTTGCCTCCAGCCCTCTGTGCCCCCCAGAGCCTTTGCTGGCTCCCTGTCCTTACTGCATTCCCCACTGAGATCCTGCAGGAATGAGCAGGACGCTCTTGCGCACCCTCAGGAAGGAAGGGTCAACATGCCCCCTCCCCTGACTTTGCCTGTGGTCACATGGTTGAGAGTAAGTCATCGTATTTTCGGGGTACAAAAATCAGACTTCTAGCGTTCAAGCTGTCAAGGCTAAATAAAAGACTCATGCACATACTTACAGGTAGCTGGACTGAGCAAATGATGGAGAATACAATGGCCAACCACAATCCATCTCACTCTAAGTAAACTTAGTCCTGACCAATGTACTTAAAAGAACAGGTATTTAATTCCTTGGTGGTACAGGTCCTCTGAGAAGTTCCATATCTTGCATTCGAAGTATGTACTTCTGGATACAGGTGGTCAAAGTGGAATTCCAGGGCCAGCTTGAGTCCAGAGATGAGAGCAAAGCGAGAGAGCCCAGGAAGAAAGCTTCCATTTTGTCCAGGGAAGCTTCCATTTTGTCCAGGGAAGCTCTGCCCCACCCTCCAGTTGGGATGTCTATTTCTCTCTTCCTGTATGGCAAGGGAAAGTGACCAAGCTGTCCTTTGCCCCTCCCCCTGTAAAGGTGTGACCTTTGCTCTTACACTGGCTGAGAGCATTTGCAAGCCCACAGGACTGATGGCCTTAGCTGGGTGTCACTGTACAGTCTGCCAGTTTGTTCCTGGCATCTTACCAGCTCTGTGAGAAGGACATTGCTTTCTTACAACAGCCCTGCAAAATAGGCCTGAACTGGTCCCTGGAGGCCGTTTTGGAGCAGATGCAGGCAAATAAACTGAAGATTAATCTCAGCAAGAGGCAAGTGCGACTGGTGGGCAGAAGGTCTGACCCGGGATTTAAGGTGTCAGCCAATCTAGAGGGGGCTGCACTTCCCTTGAAGGAACAGGTGTGTAGTTGGGTGTGTGTGTGTGTGTGCTCTTGGACTCCCCTCTACTGCTGGATAAGCAGGTGGCAGCTGTGGCCAGGCATGTCAGTTACCCACTTTGCCTGGGTAGCCAGCTGCGGTCTTTCCTGGGCAGGAAGGATCTGGCCACTGTGGTACATGCAGTGGTCACATTTAGATTACATCACTGCCCTTGAAAAATCTTTGGAAGCTTCAATTGGCGCAGAGTGCTGCAGCCAGGCTGTTGACTGGAGTGGGTCTTGAGGAACAGACCGCTCCAGTCCTGTTCCATCTGCACTGGCTCCCAGTTTGCTTCCAGGCCTCATTCATGGTGCTGATGCTGGCCTTTTTAAAGCCCTGTATCGTTTGGGACCAGCATGCCTGGAAGTCCACCTGCTTCCTTATGAACCTCCCCGCTTTGGTTGCCTCTCCGCCCTCTGAGATCAGGCTGGCAGCAACTCGGGAGGAGAGGGCCTTCTCAGTAGTGGCACCACAATTCTGGAATTCTCTCCCGAGGGAGGTGACCCCTCCCCCCCTTCTGTTGCCGTCTTCTGCCTGCGGTCGAAGCCTTCTTTATTTTGCTTGGCATTCCCTAAGTAGTCCCTCCTTGCTCCCCTCTGTTTCCATCGTTTTTATCTTTTGTACTTATTTTAGTTTTGGTTTTTAACTTGTTTTAAGGATGTATTTGTGTGTTGGTTTTAATGGCTTTTAACATTATATTTTAATTTATTTGCTTTAATGTGTTAACTGCCTTGGTGGCCCTTTGGGGGCAAAGAGGCAAGGTAGAAATCTTGCTAATAGATAAAGGTCCAGTAAGTGGACATTAAGAGAAAAGAGGAGGGTGAGGGTCCACAGGCCTTTTCTTCTTTCTGGCTGGATGTTTAAGTACACTGTTGCCTTCATGCCTTCTTTTGGGTGGGGTAGGAAGTGAGCAGTTTATGTCAGTCATCTGTTTCTATTCTTAATTAAAGCTATTTTTTTAAAGTTGGGGACAAAGGCCAGTTTGGTGCAGTGGTTAAATACATGGACTCTAATCTGGGAGAGCTGGGTTTGAGTCCCCATGCCTCCACTTGCAGCTGCTGGATGACCTTGGGCAAACCATAGTTCTGTCAGAGTTGTTCTCTCAAGGACAGTTCTGGAAAGAGCTCCCTAAGCCGCACCTACCTCACAGGTTGTCTGTTGTGGGGAGAGGGAGGGGAAAGGAGTTAGTAAGATGCTTGGAGACTCCGAGTGAAGGGCAGGGTATAAATCCAATCTCCTTGTCCTCCCCCCCCCCCCTTTGCGGACT